TTATTTCTTCAGTCCTCTCTTTCCTCCTTAGTTGGTAGTTTGTTGTTTTTGGATACATTAGTGTCAGGTTTAGTAGCTAGGGTCTTATAGGTATTAATTGAGGTTGCATATTTAGTTAGAGAGTTTGGAATCCAGAATGACGTTTTTGGGGTAGGCAATAAAGGTGTGTTGTTTGGTTTATGAGAGTTGGCAATATAGGATGATATGGAAGAGGTTGTCAAGGATTTTTATAGGGTATAGATGGTTTTCTAGGCAAATTAAAAACAAAAGACTCCATTGGTTTAGCCAAGTTATATGCATGTGTGAAGTTTTTGGGATAAAAATTCTAATTGGCTTAGATATGTTTGGGTTCAAATTACTAATGAAAATGTTAAGAACATGTTCATCAGAGATTTGGATCATATTCAGTAACCTTTCAAATTCATCATAGTATTTTTCAACAGAATTGGTTTGCTTAAGACTCGCAAGGTCAAACATGGGGTCAGAAAACTCATTCTCATCAAATCTAGACCTCATCTCAAAAATATAGTGGTGCCAAACATTGTTTGTAACCTTACCTTTGTTCTTCATGTATCGTCGGTGCCATTGGAGAGTTTTTCCATCCAGATGTATCGTGACAACCTAAACCTTGTCCATCTTCTTAGTCTGGTTTGCTTCAAAAAATTGTTCAATTTTGAGAAACCAACCTCCAAAGTCACTTCCATCAAACCATGGGCATTCTATCTTAGAATACTTTGTATGTGGCCTTGCAATTCCAGAAGAGTCATTTCCTACCACCATAGTTGGGCCCTTCTTACATTTGTGATCTCCATCTAGCTATCATTTAAAGAAATCGTTTTTCCCAATTCCCGCCTCAGTACCTCTAGAAGTTCCTTCTAACTTTGATGCCATTAGAGTGATCATTTTCCTCAACTCAACCATCTTTGCCTCAATCCTAATCATTCCTATACGCATCTCATTCCCCAGCTGATCCTGTATGCGTGCAGAAGCCATTTGCAGCTTGCTATTAATCTTTACCAACCTCAACTTATAATTGCCCAATCTCTCGTTGTAAACGTATAGTGACTACGTCTACCATGCCAAAATCATATAACTCTGATACCAAATGATACAGATAATTGAAAATTGGAGAAGAAAGAAAAAGTAGAGAGAAAGAGAGTTGAGAGAATGAAGAAATTTTTTTGGTTCTCTCGTGTACTATTTGCATGAATGCTACAACTCTTCACGTCTCCCCTTTAAAATTCTTCAACAGAATTGACTCAGCATAACTAATCCTCATGACTCACCTTATCCTCATGACTCACCTTGTATTAATTTCAATAACAGATATAACTACTAGTTAAAATAATACACTCTACTGGACTGGACTCCGGACTGAAAAAGACGGTTGGCCTAACACTTTCATCATGGCCTCATATTATCAGGGTCCAAAACCCGAGACGCTGATTGATCTTTCAAGAATGGTACAAATTTTCTTGAAGTTCAAATAGTCCCCCACCTGATATGCTGCTTCCACCGAAAGCTGGCAAAGATGGAAAGGAAAGCAAGACTCCATACAAAAAATATTTTATATATTGAACCATAATTATATTGACGGTCAAATTTTATCAATAAAAATATTTTTTATTGATAAATTTTTAATATTGTTGAAATATATCATATTTATATCAATATTTTATTTAACCGTCAGTATAAATAAATTTTTTTATAGCATATGATTATTTGTCAATATAAATATATTATATATTGACAGTTACTAACGTAACTATCAGTATAGGCTAAAAAAAAATTATTGGCTACCAAAAAAGCTAAATGAGATTATTGAAAGCGTTTTTTGTCAAAAAATTTCTTTAATAATCCATTTACAAAATTTTGGAAAGGGATTATTGAAAAGTGTTTTCGACCAAAAATACCTTCAATAATCTATAGAAAAATTTTTTTATATGGATTATTTACTGGCGATCAAATGTCGTTAGTAAATAAGATTTTTACTGATGGATTTTTAATACCGTCAGAATATACTATACTTATACCAACACTTTATTTAACTGTTGGTATAAATAAACGTTTTTTAACCGTATATGACTATCCGTCAGTATAAATATGTTATACACTGGTTATTAACGTAATCGTCAGTATAGGCTAAAAAAAAACTATTAGCTTATAAAAAAAATTGAGAGATTATTGAAGGTATTTTGGACCGAAAACACTTTCAATAATCCCACTAAAAATTTCATGAAGATTATTGAAGGCATTTTTAGTCAAAAATACTTTCAATAATCCCTTATAAAAATTCATTCAAGGGATTATTTTAAGTGTTTTTGGCCTAAAACACTTCAATATTTTCCTTGTAAAAAGTTATGAGGGGATTATTGAAAGTATTTTTGATCAAAAAAGCTTTTAATGATCCCTTATAAAACTTTATTTAGGGAATTATTGAAGGCGTTTTTAGCTCAAAACGCTTTCAATAATCTGTTCGTAAAAAGTTATGAAGGGATTATTGAAGGCGTTTTTGGCAAAAAATGCTTTAAATAATCCTTCATTAAAATTTATTGAATGGATTATTGAAAGCATTTTTGACCTAAAACACCTTCAATAATTTCCTCAAAAAAAAATTTATATGGATTATTAAAGGCATTTTTGTCCAAAAATGCCTTCAATAATCCATACAATAAATTTTAGGAGAAGGCATTTTTGGCACTTATAAAAATTTTTTGGGATTATTAAAGGTATTTTTAGTCAGAAATGCCTTGAACAACCCCATTCAATTTTTTTTACCTTCACCTCCCACCGACTCTACATATTTAATCTCCACCTCCTACCAACTTTTTTCACCCGTCGATACTTATAGCCTAATCTCGACCTCCCACCAACTCTTTCCACCTCTCATCACCTCTCATCGACTCTACAAACTTAAACCCATCAGTACTCATTTTGTTTTAGAGTTGAATCAAAGTTGAAGCATCAAAACTCTTGTCATTTCTCAAAGTTATTTTTCATTTTTTGCATTTCAATTTTGCGTCATTGAGCATGCTTATTTTTTTATCCTTCTACTAGTGCTGGCTTTGATGATTGAATGTTTTATGAAAAAGTAATAGTTTATGACGATTGAATGTTTAGGGTTCATTTCAAACAAAACATAATCTCCATTTCCTTGGTAGTTTTGGTAATGTATCTTCGTTTTAATGTTTTCTCATAATTGGTTGACCAATTTTTTTCTATTTGGTCAAAATTTGTAAAAAATGGCAGAGATGTTTGGTTCCTCCAAAGGTTGCTTACCTATGTGTAGATAGGATGAACTCAACATTTTTTTTCAAAAAATCTAGGTAAGTAAACTTTATTACCATCTTAATGAACTTTGTAATTTGTCTATTTCCTAACATTTAAACAACTAGATGAAGTTTTCTTTTACCTAGATCTAATGCCTTTTATTTCCAACATAGGGTTACAGCCGTTTTCGACTTTAATGCACTAAATGGGAGGACTATAGGTCTAAACATTTTTGTCATTGGAGCTTGGAATTCTAGTAATGCTGAATTGCTCACTAGATATGCTATCAACTAGGGCTATACATTCATAGATATAAATGTTTTTTTTTTTTGGTACAATGACATTAGTTCTTTACTTATTTTAAATTTGTGGATTATAAAACAATTTGTTTGTTGTTTTATTTCAAATGTTATTAAATATTTTTACTTTTTTTGTATTTTTACTTTATATGAAAGTATATCATATTATGATTATAAATAAATTAATATTAATAATTGAAAATATAATTAAAAAAAATTTTTAGCAACGCTTTAAAATTTATATCGACTCATTTTACTATTGAAATATTTCAAGCTATACTGACAATTATCATGAACCATTGGTAAAAGTTAAAACACATAAGGCTATACTAACAGGCATTGACCATTAGTAAAAGATATACTGATAGAGACATCATCGGTATAAGTTGAAAAAATTAAAACATACAAGTCTATATTGATGGGAATAATTGTTGGTAAAAGGTATAATGTGAAACACACAATAATTGTTATACCAACAGCTATACATATAATGATGGACTAAAACCGTTAGTATATCTCTGTTACATATTCTAACAGCTTAAAAATCATCAATATAGGTCTATACCGACAAAGGATATACTAACGGTTATAAATTTGTTGGAATAGATATTTTGATCGTCAGTATAAGGTTTATTGGGCTATATCGACTAATTTTTAAGTTTTACTAATGATTTTTTAAGCATCAATATAGACCAATTTTCTTGTAGTGAATGGAAAAGAGGAAAAAATGGAAAAAATGTGAAAGAGGAAGACAATAATGGAAAATATAAAAAGGATGGGAAAGATGCCAAGAATGGCAAAAGTTTAACTCCAACTGCATTCGATATTGTTGTAGAAACTACACCTGTATCACCAAATAGAGATATTGCTGCTAATAGTGCTCCTAAACAACCAAAACCAAATACTGCAGCTTCAACCGAGGCTTATATGATAGCTAAACCAGATGCCGATGCTTCTAAGTGATAATAACCCTTTTTTTAATTCCTTTTCATGTGTTTAATTATAACTTTTTTGATTTATTTTTAAGCTTGGCTTAACCATTCTTAGTGGAGAACAAGACAAGAGACTTTGGATGGCTTAACCATTCCTCGAAATTAATTATCTAACAAGTATTTTTTCTTTAATATTACAATATTCATCTATCCAAGTTCTTATGTGTGCCACTACACCCTTGTCTTGACTCTTGATTGAGGTTTCTTTTTTTATCTTTAGCTTCTTGGCCTAGTGATTAAAAAGGCTTAGGAAAAAAAATGTAAAATGAGAGTTCAACCCCTATAATGCCCATCTCCTATCCAATGGATTGAAGTTTCTTTTCTATTGAAAAAGAAGTGGTAAAGGATTCAAACATTATCCAAACATAAAAGCATTTCCATTATTGGTTCTATTTTTAAAGGGAACCATACATTTTTCCCTGACAAATATGGATGAGATTGTTTTTTTCGTTTGGAAGGCATCAATGAAAAGATAGAGTTTGATTTTAAGCTATAATAGGGTGTAGAGAAATGATTTTTCATCCTAATTATCTTGTTTCAGAGACAAAAATAAAATGTTCTTGCATTTTGTTCCTAATAATTATGTTAGTAGTTTAGAATGTGATATATCCCACATTTGATAAAAAGACTTAATTATTGGTGAATTGTATTAATTTTTATATTAATTTTATTCATATTCTAAATAATTATATTTGAACAAATGATTTAACTATTTGAATATCAATAGATGATTATTCATATAAGTCATGATCATATAAATAGTAGTTACCATTGGAATAAAAATTTATGTCTATTCATTTATTATAAATAAATCTTTCAGTATAACCATTTTCACTAATTTTGCTTAAAGAGTTTTAAGGTTTTGTTGTATCCAAGAGGCAACGCCTTAAAACCAAAATTTTTTTTATTATATCTATTATTTTATTATTTTTCTAATAATTTAAAAACAATTATGTGAAATTCATATTTCATATGAGAAAGATATAAGGAAAAGAGATTGGCAAATTTGGCAAAATTGACTTTTGAAACATGCATGGAAAGCTTCAATTATCAAAATGGTTTTTTGGTGAAATAAATACTAAACACAAGTTTCTTGTTACTATTTTTCTAGTTTTTATATTCTCTTAAAAGAATTTATGATTAATAATTCATAAGAGACTTTAAGTCTTATTGAATTTTGCTTTTATATTAACTAAATATTCTTTTAATTTTTCTAATTTGAAGTAAATTATTTAATTTATGATTCATGGATTTATGATATGTCTTATGTGGATTTCTTGATCATGGCATTGAATGGTCATAAAGCTAAAATGGGCAAAGAGTACTTGCTAGTTTTAGTTATGAATATTTTATATATCTTGATAATTAAATAGGACATTCTTTTATCCATCCATTCAGTTTATCTAATACTAGAAGAATAACTGTATTAAAAATATATAAAAGCATAGAAATAAAATGGTTGAAAACTTTATTTTAATGAGTATAAATTTGTAGCCACAACCAATACCAGTTATTTTTTAAAATGACAACAATTAGGCAATAATGTCTAGAGCATATAAATGATATGCAAAATGAAAAAATTAGACATTTTAGCCTATGAAGTGACCATATTAGATATTTAATCTCAAGTGAGGATAATTACCATAAAAGAAATTTTCAATTTCAAGATATTTGGTTAGTAGTACTATAAGTAAAATGGATTTAAACCCTTACTCTTAGGCACTAATAATGGGAATCCAACTTTGAATTATTAACCTCTAATTACAAAGTTTCATGGGTAAAAACAATTTATTGTTATATGTCTTTTAAGCACTAGTAAAATCCATTCAAAGTTTAGAAACTAATGTATTCCATTGCATAGTGAGAATGCGTTTTTAAACTCTCAATCGAGTTTATTATTTAAATGTCTAAATCAATGAAATATAATGAAAACTTTACCTATATAAATATAAGAGCGGTACTACTTCAATAAGAAAAATTAGGATCTCTCTTGTAAATATTTATGAATATGATAAGCATATAGTCATCATAGTGCTAAAGCTGTTATAAACTTTTGACAGAAGATTAATTATTATGTGTATTATATCTTTAATTCAAACTCTAAAAGTTGAGATTTAATTTGCGGATACCATCAACTTCATTAGAATTCTAAGGTATATATGTTAACCAAATGTTTAAATTGAGAGATACTTTCGTATATTCATAATATTTATATGTGCAAAAGGTTAAAGATTAAGCACCATCATTCCAATTTAGTAGGGGATTATTGGTAGTTTAAAATGTGATGTATCTTATATTGGATAGAAAGACTTAATTATTGATGAATAAACTGAATTTTTATATTAATTTTGTTCATATTCTAAATAATTATATTTGAACAGAAATAATTATTATATGATAAATTATCATAACTATTTGAATATAAATAAATGATGTGATTATACAAATGGTCATTATCATTTGAATAAAAATTGATGTCTGTCCATTTATTATAAATAGGTATTTTAATATAACCATTTTCATTATTTTTGCTTGAAGAGTTTTGAGGTTTTATTGTATTCTAATAGCACAATTACCATTAAAATTTTTTTTTCACGTCTCAAAATTAAAATTTTTTATTATTATTTCTATTTCTTATTTATTTTTTCTAACACAAAATACCAATCAATCTAAATTTTTGTTTTAAAAAAGGAAAACTGTAATCACAATTTCAGGATAAGCCCCGTCCATGTCAAGGTTTCATTTTTGCCTATGCCTGCCATTTTTTTCTACTGAATATATTCTGCCTCCTTGGCACTCTGCAACAATCCCTTCATATTATATACTGGCGAAGAGAATGTTAGAGTTTCTGGATTAGTATTGTAAGGGAAAACTTTAGAAACTCATATTTTATGATCTTGTTATTATCCTATCCACATCAAACATGTGGCCTACATCATGACAATAAATTCCGAATACACGATTCCTCTCTTTTTTTTTTTTTTTCAATGACAAGAGTCTTTCAATGAGGACTTTTTTGATGTGGATAAAAAATAGTCTTTCAATTGTCAATGACATGCATGACAATAGTCTTTCAAACCCTAAACGCTTTGCATGGGACACCTTACTATTAAAATAGTACTACTACATTTAAATATGGATTTTATGGATTTTTTTTCATATTTCTTTGAGACATTTTTATGCCAAAAATTTAATTTGACAGTGATCTCATTTTATATTTTGAGAATCCTGCTGATTACTACATTCAACCCATCTCAAATTCTTATTTACAAAGGTTAACTTAAATCAAATAAGTGCAAGTATTGGAGGTTTAGCCTAAAATCATGGGAGGGAAGTTCAAGGACAAATTGACAACACAAGTAACATTTTACATTCTGTGTTCCAAATTTCATTAAAATCCAACAGGATCACAAACTTTCATTTAAACGTGAATGACTGTAACAATACTAAACGTACTCTCTCCTTTGGAGACGGCTTCAAAATCTACAAACACTTGCGCACTACGAAAGTAGGGAAAACCATTGAAGAAAAAAAAAAGAATTGAAGAAAAAAAAAAGAATGGCCCTTGGATGCTATTATGCCGTCCAACGGTTACCTTTTTCTTAAAAAAAAAAAAAAATGGGAGGCAAGGAATACTTTTGGTGTCATGGGGACTAGGGAGCCTTTTGACCTAAAAAAGGCGATTAGTCCCCTCATTGTCATGGCCAATTGACAGTTACTTTCACAGTTATACGAAGTTGAGGCGATGAGGAGTAAGTTGCTTTTGGCGACCAATTTCTTGGAATGACATACCTTGCAGAGAGTGTTCTTGCTGTTGATAGTGTTGTTAGTTTCACTAAGAATGGTCATTTCAAGGGTCCCCTAATTATGCACCAATTTGCTCCCCATAGATGATTCATCTCTAACCACTCATTAGATTTTGCCTGCAGCCAACATCCAAATGTCAAAATCTATTAGTAGCAATTTCATTTTATCTCTCACTGTATTTTTGTAGATTTGGAGTCTCTGAACTTTTGTAACTTCTTTCAAGCAATTTCATTGATGGATGTTGCTTTTTTTTTCACCTTCAAATTTGGGAATAAAAGGGCCTGTTTAAAAACAAGAAGAAAAAGTGGCTGAATTTGAAGAAGGTTATTTTCCATATATAGCTCATGGTGGATACTCTAGTCAGATAGTGTAAGTGAAAAGAAATTCATATGCTAATGTCATGATGTCCCAAATCATAGTCTTTTGCCTCACGGTCTTGGAGGGGAAACAAAAGAAATGACATAATGGTGCTGATAGATCAATTATAAATCCAAGTTAAGAAGCACGTCCACTGTGAAGGCAATACTTGTGCTGATATTCTTGCCAAGAATGGTGCCAACCTTGGTGATGATTTTGTTTTATATAATAATGCCCTTGATTGTATTAAGCTTAAACTTTTGGCTGATATCTAGATACGATATTTCTAACCCAAGAAGTTGTAATGTGGGAAGAGATAATTCCTGAACTCTTAAATTTGTATTAATGTAGTTAGTTACGTTTCAACCAAAAAATGAAATGACAGAAGAAGAATGTAATTTTCAACTTGCTGTAAGGATGGGACACTTTGAATGTGGCCTGGCCCGACATCAAATGCATTGAGTCAAGATTCAAGAAAATGGTAAAGTAATAGTCAACAGAAGGAAAAGTAACAGCAAAAAAAGTGCTTTTTATTGATGTTGCACCAAGAAGTTTCCTTACGTTAGTCATATCTGCATTTTGTGGAGCCTAAAGAAGACCTTTTATTTTGCTTGTGCTTTTGCCTTTACATTGGGCCATGGAAGTCACAAGGATTTTATGCATTGAAATCATAATAACTTTCTTTCTAAAATTTTTTGTAACCAAATGAATAAATAGTTGAATTTATCGAAAAGAGAATAGCACTTCTCTGAAATGCGTTGATCCAACATCTTCATTCCCTCCTCAAATTCCACCGGAAGAGATAGC